GTATCCCCTGCATCGGCAGGCGGACTCTTAACCACTGCGCCACCAGGGAAGTCCCAATCCTTGCATTCTTGTAGTAAATTTTAATTAGCAGCATTGTTGTCGTATTATTTTAGTTTATTTCCTGATTAATTTTGCTAGTATTTTATTTAGTTTTGCAACAATATTCCTAGTAGGTTTTGTTTTCAGGATCAGTTTGGCTGTGTAAAATGTTTTGGTAGCATATGTCTTTTTCTAGCTACTGAAACAAATTTTGAGGTAGTGAAGTTACTACTTTCTTGCAGCTTTGAAAGAAATCATCTGTGAAACCATCTGGGCCTGGCACTCTTCTAAGTGGTAACAATGGGCATGTATGTGCCTGTGTGTGTGCATGTGTGTGCGTGTGTGTGTGTATGTTATTCAGTGCATAAAAGTTTGTGAATTTTTTTTTTTGCTGTACGCGGGCCTCTCACTGTTGTGGCCTCTCCCGTTGCGGAGCACAGGCTCCGGACGCACAGGCTCAGCGGCCATGGCTCACTGGCCCAGCCGCTTCGCGACATGTGGGATCTTCCCGGACCGGGGCACGAACCCGTGTCCCCTGCATCGGCAGGCGGACTCTCAACCACTGTGCCACCAGGGAAGCCCTGTGAATGTTTTTAAGACAGTGGCAATATTAAACAACATTTTAATTGTTGACTGTTTTCTGGCTTGAATTTTACTTTGTTTGTTATTAACACCCTAACCTTTCTGGAAATTGTTGCTGATGTACCTTCCCTGAAAAAATATGATTGAAATGGTTTTGACCCAGTCTGAGAGTCTTTTAGAAGGATTTTTAAAACTAATTTATATTTATGGTAAAAAAAAAAAATCTCTGTAGTCTTATTTCCGTCATCTTGAATTATGCTTTATTAAAAAAAAATGCTTTCTTATTTAGTCCTTTGTTTATCATCTTAAGTGAGTTTCATTTTCTTTGGTTTTTGTATTACATAGAATTGGGCTCATGTAACAGCTGCGTATAACAGAGAAACCCACCAAACCCAATGACTTAAACATCATAGAAGCTTTTTCCTCTCCCTCAAAAGAAGTCTGGAAGTAGGCAACCCAGGTCTGGCATGGTGGCATGGAGATCCCAGGCTCAGAACTGAGGCTCCTTCCAGCTTTCTGCTCCATCATCCAACATATAGTTCATTTCCTGGCCCAGGGTGGGAGTGGGAGCCAGACTTCTGCACTGGGCGTTCCTTGCTGCCAGCCAAGCTTGGCACGGCATGGTCCGGTGCCCAGATCCCAGGAGACAATGGCTGCTGGAATCCGGGTGCTTGTGAGGATGAAATGAACAATCAACCTCAGTCACTGTGATGATGGCTAATTTCTCGTGTCTACTTGACTCGACTGTGATGCCCAGTTATTTGGTCAAACACAGTCTAGGGCTTCCCTGGTGGCGCAGTGGTTGAGAGTCTGCCTGCCGATGCAGGGGACACAGGTTCGTGCCCCGGTCCGGGAAGATCCCGCATGCCGTGGAGTGGCTGGGCCCGTGAGCCATGGCTGCTGAGCCTGCGCGTCCGGAGCCTGTGCTCCGCAACGGGAGAGGCCACAACAGTGAGAGGCCCGCGTACTGCAAAAAAAACAAAAAAACCCCACAGTCTAGATGTTGCTGTGGAGGTATTTTGTAGATGCGGTTAACATTTACAATCAGTTAACTGGAAGTAAAGGAGATTACCTGCCATGATAAGGGTGGGCCTTGTTCAATCAGTTGAAGGCTTGAAGAGCAAGAATGGAGGTTTCCTAGAGAAGAAGTTCTGCCTTAAGATTGTAGCATGGAAGAACTGTTCAAGTTTCCAGACTGCTGACCTGCTGTATGGAGTTTGGGTTCAGTAGCTCCCATAATCCTGTGAGCTAATTCCTTAAAAACCTCTTTATATATGCACAGGAACATGCACACATCTATACATGTATACATATATGTATGTATGTACACAGGTGATGTGTGTGTGTGTGTGTGTGTGTGTGTGTGTGTCTTTAATCTCAGGGCCTTTGCCCCAGCCCTGGTTTTTGGCAGGGACATTGGGAATAGAGCTGTGATAACAGAGAAGTTAGGTTTTCTCCACCAGTTCACATCTGCCTACCCCCAGGATCAGACTCACAGTAGCCCCTGCAGTCCCCAGGGGTTAAGAGGTTAAAATGGGACCTTCAGACTCCAGTTTAGCACATGACTGTGGTGGATATGGAGGAGTTTGGGTGCTTAATATCCATTTACCCTGTTCTTTTTTTTTTTTGTGGTACACGGGCCTCTCACTGTTGTGGCCTGTCCCGTTGCGGAGCACAGGCTCCAGACGCGCAGGTTCAGCAGCCATGGCTCACGGGCGCAGCCGCTCCGCGGCATGTGGGATCTTCCTGGACCGGGGCACGAACCCGTGTCCCCTGCATCGGCAGGTGGACTCTCAACCACTGCGCCACCAGGGAAGTCCTACCCTGTTCTTAATAATAGTCCCTGATTTTCTTTTTTTCTTTAAAGTTTTTACTGAATTTGTTACAATATTGCTCCTGTTTTATGTTTTGGTTTTTTGGCCGCAAGGCATGTGGGATCTTAGCTCTCCGACCAGGGATCGAACCCGCACACTCTGCATTGGAAGGCAAAGTCTTAACCACTGGACAGCCAGGGAAGCCCCTAGTCCTTGATTTTCATTCACACATGTACTCCTTCTGCATGTGATGTCCCTGTGATTCTGGTGAAGCTGACCCATCTCCTAACTCCAGGGATAGCATGGGACCTAGTTTTTTTAATCTTATTTAATTATTTTATTTTAATTGGATCTTAGTTCCCCGACCAGGGATCGAACCTGAGCCCCCTGCATTGGAAGCGCAGAGTCTTAACCACTGGACCGCCAGGGAAGTCCCCTTATTTTATCTTTTTAAAATTAATTTTTATTGGAGTATAGTTGATTTACAGTGTTGTGTTAGTTTCTGCTATACAGCAAAGTGACTCAGTTATACATATACATATATCAACTCTTTTTTAGATTCTTTTCCCATACAGGTCATTATGGGACCTAGTTTTAAACTAAGCTCTGTCTTCCCTTATCTCGGCCAGTGTGATTGTGTCAGGGATGGACACTTGACCTAATTCAGGCCGTTGAAAGTTAGGTCCAGGGTTTATGTTTGAACTGGTTGAAGAGAAGTTCTCTCTGCTCTTCAACTGTTCTTACCCATGAGAAGAATGCAGTCTCTGGGCACTAGCAGCTGTATTGTCACCATGAGGGGGAGGGTTAGCCTGAAAAGAAAAAGTTTGAGGTGAGAGATGGAGAGAGAGAAACCAGGTCCCCGTGACATCATTTGACTATCTTCATATCAGCACACCTGAAGCAGAAACTACTCCCTGGATTTCTCACTGACGTGAGTAAATAAATCCTTTTTGCTTAAGCCAGGTTGGATAGGATTTTTAAGAATAAAACACCAAAGAATCCTCAGGATAAGATCATGCACTCCACTGAGTTTTTTCCTAAGAACAAGCCATATCAAATAACCTGGCACCTAAGTAGCAGGAAACAAAGTAAGGGACAGCTTGGCAGGAGATAACGCTTGGACAAAAAAATAACTCAAAGAATTGGTTCTTTTTAGTCACAGATGCCTCAGATGAAGGCCTTGGGGCTGCACTGATACAAAAGTGAGAATTTTTCTGTTTCCTAAAGAATAGGATTCCTCCATAATGTAGAAAATATTCTTAGCTGTGGTTTGGGTGCTCGATTTTTTTAAAAAATTAATTAATTTATTTTTGGCTGCATTGGGTCCTCGTTTTGCGCACGGGCTTTTCTCTAGTAGCAGTGAGCGGGGGCTACTCTTTGTTGTGGTGCCCGGGCTTCTCATGCGGTGGCTTCTCTTGTTGCAGAGCACGGGCTCTAGGAGCGCGGGCTTCAGTAGTTGTGGTTCATGGGCTTCAGTAGTTGTGGCTCGCAGGCTCTAGAGCACAGGATCAGTAGTTGTGGCGCACGGGCTTAGTTGCTCCGCGGCATATAGGACCTTCCCGGACCAGGGCTCGAACCCGTGTCCCCTGGACTGGCAGGTGGATTCTTAACCACTGTGCCACCAGGGAAGTCCCTTGATAATCTTAAATAGCATTCATGGGGCCAGTGGTTTTTATGTTCTTACCAATAACAAAGTCCTTCTGATCTTGTTGATTTCTATGAAACACATCAATTTAACAATACAGAGATAGAAATAAATGCTACAGAAATTCAGAATAAATGCTGAAAAATGCCAGGGTTGAGCCAACAGGGTCATCTCCCAGTGTTAAGGGTTCAGTCTTCTAAATTTCACTGAGGAGGTAAAAAAATAATACTAGTGCCCTTTTAGTTTTAAATCAGAATACAGAATTCCCGTATTTTGTCAGTAATCTAGGTTACCTGTTTATCTTACCTGTAAGAGAATGAGGTCCAGGAAATCCGTTTTGTTTATCCTGAGCATGCGTAGCCTAGGACCCAGTACTTACCAGGTGCTGAATAAATTGTGGTGAATAAATGGAGAAAACAATGGATCGATCGATTAATGAACTATAGCATCTCCACTTTGGCTGGCCCTAATAGCTCGCTGATTCTGGCCAACCTGGCCTGCTTTCCTCCCACCGGGTGTTTCCACGCAGACTCCCACTGATGTTTTGCCTGACGCAGGTTCTAGGACGCTGTGAGGTCCTACAAGTTCATCCTGCCCTTCCCAGGGCTCAGTGCCAGACACACCCACTTTATCATGGCCTCCTTTTATTGTATCTCTGTACAATGTGTTGGCCATAAAATTAATTTATGATACTTATTTGGGGACTGTAAAATTGCCTCCAAAGTGATACTGTGTCTCCCAATGTACTTTCCGGGAAATGCCCTGGTTATTGGATGCTTTGATCTTCCACTATTTTTTTTTTTTTTTTTTTTTTGCGGTACAGGGGCTTCTCACTGTTGTGGCCTCTCGCGTTGCGGAGCACAGGCGCCGGACGCACAGGCTCAGCGGCCATGGCTCACGGACCTAGCTGCTCTGCGGCATGTGGGATCTTCCCGGACCGGGGCACGAACCCGTGTCCCCTGCATCGGCAGGCGGACTCTCAACCACTGTGCCACCAGGGAAGCCCTGATCTTCCACTCTTGAAGACAGAAATGAAGTCACATGGACAAGCAAAGGTTTGTTTCTGTTTTCCTGTTTGTCAGATTACAACTTCTATAATTGCCCACACAATCTGAAGTCGTACTAATTCTCCCTCTGCAAAATCTTTTGTATCTGTCCTGATTTCCTACTCTCCACAGCCAGTGGTGTGCTGAAGCCAATTGGCGCTAGCTTGCAAAGATCCATTTGTTAAATTTTCAGAAAGCAGGGAAGTTGGTGGTTAAACTGTTGGCAGCTTGAAATTGGCAATACTTACACCATAGACATTGGCAGATGCTACAAATTCAGCTCCTTTCCACCTCCACCCCGAACTGAGAGCTGGTTGTGAAACACATACCAGCACACCACTATGTGCATGTCTTCCCCTCATTCAAGTCCTCATTACCTCTTGCCTGGACTATAACAGTATCCTACAAACCAACACCTCTACCCACACAGTCTTCCCATTTCCAGGTGATCATTGTTGAATACTTTTGACTACCAGGAACAGAAAACGCAATTATAGATTTCTTAAATGTAAGAAAAATGTATTATTTCATATAACAGAAAGTTCAAAGATGAGGCATTTTCAGGAAAACTCAGCAGCTCAAGAACTCCTCAAATACCCAGATTCTTTTCATTTTTCCACTCTCAGCATCTGGGCATGGCCATTCATGGCTTCGAGATGACTGCTGTGGTTTGAGGTTCACATCCTCACACAGTGACACATGCAACTTTTCCTTATGTCTTCAAAGTACAGATACCATCTTCCCTGAAGTCCCCCTGCAGGCTTCCTCTTGGGTCTCCTTGGCCAGAATTGCAACCCATACCTATTCTTCAGTCAGTCACTGCAGGGTAATGGAATTACCGTGATTGGTTCAGACTGCCGGTTCTCAACCTCTTAGAACCAACATCTCTTTTTGTGTAAACATTTTATAGCACTCCTCTTTCATGAAATGAAAATCAAAGATAATATAATCTATCCACACATGCACTTGAAAAACAAATCAATACAAGCTCTCATTGGAATATAAAGGTGAAATGAAGAAAGATAATTGGCAAAAATTATATGCATATGCATTTCAATATATATGGTAAATTATATTATGACTCCAAATTATTTCCTGCCTTCCCTATACCAGAATTAGATATCCCAGCCTGAGGGCATGGGACTTGCACTGCCTCACCCAACTGATGTCACACTTGCTTTATGATTTGCTTTGGTCAGTGTAATGTGAATGGAAGTGTCACATCTGAGAAGAGCTTGAAAAGCCATTGCGTGGTTCTGCTATACCTTTTTCCTCTGCTATGACAGCAGCATGTCTCAGATAGGGCTGCTCCTTTATCCTGGCTCTCAAAATGAAAACGACATGTGCAACAGGAACAGAGCTTCAACTGATGTATATATGAAGAGCAACAGCAAAAGATACATTTTTGTTGTTGTAAGCCTTTGGGATTTTTGGAGTTGTTTGTTACTGCCTCACAACCTATCAAAAGCTGACTAATATAATATGGCACAACAATATTCTGCACAGAAAGAAGCAGTCCACAGCTTCAGATGAACACTGATACAATTGTGTTGTAACAACAGTTCAAAACCTAAAAGAGATACTGCTCTCCATGCCACAATTTTCTGCAATGGCAATCAACTCTTTGTAAAGCTCTGAGTTCGAAAAAAAGGCATCCCTGGGGGAATTCCCTGGCGGTCCAGTGGTTAGGACTCTGTGCTTTCACTGCCGAGGGCCCGGGTTCAATCCCTGGTGGGGGAACTAAGATCCCACAAGGCCCGGCCAAAAAAAAAAAGGCTTCCTTCAATTTACATTTACATGGCGGTTGCATTCCAGGAAAATGCAAAATGTAGAATAAAATTGGCTGTTGCTGGAGTCACATGATTATAAAGAGATATTTCATCTACGTGAATGTCTAGTGGTTTATTCACAAGTCATGGGTCCATTTATATAAAGTTCAAAAATGGGCATACTGTGTACATGCTGTTTGCAGTTAGAATAAGTATATGACTGGAAGGAGACACTAGGCTGTGTTCAGTTTGTGAAGATTCATTGAGCTGTATACTTAATGATCTGTGTACTTTTCTATACGTAATTATACCACAATAGAGAGTCTTTTTTAAAATTTTTTTTAAAGATTTTTTTAATGAGGACCATTTTTTAAAATTAATTAATTAATTAATATTTATTTTTGGCTGTGTTGGGTCTTTGTTTCTGTGCAAGGGCTTTCTCCAGCGGCGGCGAGCGGGGGCCACTCTTCATCGCGGTGCGCGGGCCTCTCACTATCGCGGCCTCTCCCGTTGTGGAGCACAGGCTCCAGACGCACAGGCTCAGTAGTTGTGGCTCACGAGCCTAGCTGCTCCGCGGCATGTGGGATCCTCCTGGACCAGGGCTCGAACCCGTGTCCCCTGCATTGGCAGGCAGATTCTTAACCACTGTGTCACGAGGGAAGCCCAAGGGTCTTTTAAAAAGTCATGCAGGGCATGGGACAAATCTTTGATATATGGGATTGCCCTGTGCATTGCAGGATGTCAGACATTCCTGATCCTTGTCCATGAACTATCGACAGTGTCCCTTAATCTTTATGACAATCAAACTGAAACAAAACAACCTCACAAATTTCTATAATGCTGAACCCCTGGGTGCTTTAGGTTTATGTAATCAAGCATTGCTCCTGGGGCTGTGCCCCTTGAGGTTCATCAACTGCTTTATATCTAAATACAACTGGGCTTCCCTTGGCCATGAAGAAGGCAGGGTAGCAGAGGATGAGAAGTGTGTGGTGGTAGTGGTGGTGATGGTGGCGATGGTAGAATTGGTGGTGATGGTGATAGTGGTCGGGTAGATAACCCTCTGTGTCTGCCACAACATCCTTCTCATGCTATCAAATACATTCCAGATCACTTTGCCCCAACCTCAAATCTGCAGTGGCTCTCAACTGTCTATAGGATAAAGAACTCAACTTACCTTTCTAGGCTAATTTTGAGGTGTCCTCCATTTTCACTGAACCATTGCCCTTTCCCTCCACGGAACATGCTATGGTATCACAATGCACTGCTCCTCCTTCTGTTAAGAAAGCCCTGCTCCCATTCTCACTCCTCTGGGTCTTCATTCAAATGCTTCTTCCCGATGAAGCAACCACCTGTCCAGAGTTCACGGATCCTTCATATACCTTCCCATGGTGCTTTGCTGATCTCCCTCTTTACCATTTACTTCATTCCACCTTTTGTGTAGTTAGTTGATCTACTAACAGCTTCCACAGCCCTAGTCTTTTACAGCTTCCACAGCCCTAGTACAGTGATAGGAATTCACTAGCACTCAAAAAATGCCTGCTGAATTAAACTGAACAAAAGCACAGACTCTGTATTTCACAGAAATCAGCAACCCAATATCTAAACTCTTTTAACTGGTTGAGACTCACAGTTGCCATCTGGGTAATTAATAAATAGCTTTCCATCAATAGCCTCAATTGTGATTTCACTGTACTTCCCTTCATTGTCATAGGATTGCATCCTGTTCTGGTTCTGGGAGGGAAATGAAGCTATTTGGCTTCCCTGAACTATGGTCACTCCCACATGCCGATTATGCTTAGGCCCTTTCAATGCAGAAGAGAACCCGTAGTAAGACAGTAGGGGGCCTGATAGCAGCCTGGCTGTAGTATGGCCAAGATGCAGCAGGTGAGGCCAGTGGGGTATTTCAGTGACAATTCAATAATTATTTATTGAGTGTCTACTATGTACTGGCTACTGTGGGTGCCACCAGTATCAATGAATACAGATCCTTCTCCATTCAGTCTAACTGAGAAGGTGACGTGTCCAAGTACCAGTAGAGAGGGGCAGATAGGAGCTCACAGGACAGAGAGAATGGCATTGGTTGGGAAATGAGGCGGGCTAATCGGAGAAGGTGGTGATTGGTAAGGCCTTGTAGGCTAATATTTGACCAATTAGAAAAGAGATGGAGGGTCATTCAAATGGGGGGAAATACTCAAAGGCAGGAAAGAAGGAAGGAAAGGGCCAGAGAAACATGTTTTCCTGTTGCCCCTTGGAACCAGATACAGGCTCTGTTTATACAATCTTCTGATCTTCTCTCTGAGCTAGTGGTATGTGGTCTTAAAAGCTGGGAATCCTTAGTTCTTCATAGGATTAAAAAAATCTTTGTATTGAGGTAAAACATACATATAGTGAAGTGTATATGAGTGTTAACCTTAAGTGTCTATCTTGATAATTTTTTACACACTCACATAGTTACCACTCTGATCAAGATATATAACATTTCCATCACCCCAGGTTCTGTTGACTTTTATCGTCAAAAATTATTTTTGCCTTTTCTAGAATGTCATTTATATATATATATATATTTGCGGTACGCGGGCCTCTCACTGTTGTGGCCCCTCCCGTTGCGGAGCAGAGGCTCTGGACGCGCAGGCTCAGCGGCCATGGCTCACGGGCTCAGCCGCTCCGCGGCATGTGGGATCCTCCCGGACCGGGGCATGAACCCACGTCTCCTGCATCGGCAGGCGGACTCCCAACCACTGCGCCACTAGGGAAGCCCTGTCGTTTAGATTTAATCATACAATATTAGATACCAGCACTTGGTTCCTTTTTATTGTTGAGTAACTCAGTGATTAACTGTGAAAACAACAGATTTGTCTATTCATTCTGTTGATGGACATTTGGGTTGTTTTTGCTCTTTGACCAATATGAATGGAACATTCTTGGACAGGTCCTTTGGTGGACACATGCACTCGTCCCTCTGGAATGTATCACGAGGCCTGGGGTCACTGTGTCATAGGGCAGCTCTGCTCAGCCTCAGTCTATTAGATGCATACTGTCAAGCTGGACTTGCAATTGGTGTCTGAAGTGGGAGGAGGGGGCAGTTTTGTGGTACTGAGCCCTTAACCTGTGGGCTCTGATGCTAACTCCAGGTAGATGGTGTCAGAACTGAATTGAATTGTGGGACACCCAGCTGGTGTCTGGAGAATCTGAGAATTGCTTGGTGTGGAAAATCCACCCATTTGGTGACCTGAGGTAGGG